CAAAGGGAAAGGGAACAAGTTCTTGAAGTCAGCTTCGTCTTCCAGTGAAGAGCCCCTGTTGGCTGACAGTTTGACTTTCAGGTTTGACATACTAGTGGAAGCCAGAGACTCTCTTGCCATTTTGGTGAAACGGGCGAAGGTGCCACCCGGCCTGGCGAAAAGAAGAACAAATTGTGTTTCAGGGACTCTCTCTCATCGTTTGCTAAAGTACGCATAGTACTTGACAGTAAGCTCATCTCGCTTATCTCTCATCATCTCGGCGAGAGGATTGTAGAACTCTCGATATGGACAGAGGGAGAGCAGCTGACAACTTGCGCTGAGTCGTTGATTCCCGACGGACGTCTCCATCCTCCACTTTTGTCTAATGGAGGACGATCAACAGGAGGCGGATGCCAGCAAACTCCCTACGAAATCAAATCGAACGCCGCTGGCTAAGGCTGGAGGGTTTCTGAGGGCCGTCAAGGATGGCGAGAAGAAGATCAATAATACTACGATGGGCAGGAAGAAAAGAAGCCTCTCCCGGTCCGTGGTGCCAGACATTGCACTGAGCGAGTCCAATCAACGAACCATGGGACATGGTTTCGGCAGCAGCGAATGTCTGAGTAATTCCGGTCTCTGCTCGCCCGAAGCAGAGGAGGATGGCGACACATGCTCGATCAAGCCTTCCGTGAGTCTGGAAACCATGTCGCTCGGCAACGCGCTTGGCATGCGCGCCGAGAAGACCAACTCGTCGCCGTCCCTGGTCGTGCTCGGCAAGACCACGTCGTCGTCGGGCAAGACGCGTAGCATGACTGTGTCCAAGTCGGTCTCAGCGATAGCGGCCAGCGCCACCAACTGGTCGGTGAAGTACCGGCGCACCAACAGCACGAACAGCAACGGCACGGGGACGGCAGCGGGGGCGAGCGGCGGCGCCAACTCGTCGCCGCAGGGGGGCAAGTCGGGCAACCGGCGAGCGTCGCACTCGCCTCACGAGCGCCTGAGCTCGCGTGTCATGGACCTGACGGCGAAGCTGCGCACGGACAGCGTCACGTCTCACCACCACCACCAGCCGAAGTCCTGGCTGCCGGAGGAGCAGTGCTGGCGCCCGGCCGTGACCAAGGACTTCTCCGAGTGCCTCCCGCTGAGCAATGCTGTGTTGTTCCGCGACCTGCAGCAGGAGAGCATCGCCGAGAGCGAGCACGACGAACGCACTCCCACCAAGGACAGTTTGGTGAATGCGGAGTAGTGACCTGCCAGTGCGCTCCCACGGAGGACAGTTTGGTGAATGCGGAGTAGTGATCCGATTATCGCCCTGTGCACTCACACGGAGGACAGTTTCGCGAATGCGGAGTAGTAGTGATCTGATCTCCCCCGGCATGTTCCTCACTGCTGCTGCTGCTGGAATCGTCTCGGCTGAGCATGAACCTCTCGTGTGTTCTTGTACTCAGCGATGCCGTCTACCGCTATTGGAGGACGTGCTATTGCTGTCGGAAGTTATACCGGCGGCGGTAACGATGATGATCAGCTGACATGACTGTTGTTATTCATGTGCAAGCTCCATGCTCCTTTCCGAAGAAAACGCACTGAACGCCCCCGGAGCAAACGCTCTCAACGGCCCCCGGACCAATGCTATAGCTGCAGCAACCGTAGGCCCGGCAAGAACTTTCGAAACACAACACCCCCCCCCCCCCCAACCATATGTCCCCATCCTGCCCCTCCCCACCCTGCACTGCACCCCTTCATCCTTGATATACCTGACCCATAGGTTCAGCTCTCCAGAATACAGCCCCCGGACAAGAAACACATATAGGTATCGAGTACAAGTGCGGTGACCACCGGCAGAGATCTTAAAGTCAGCGTCGCTGGCAAAGAGACAGAGCTAGAACGCATGCATCGCCCGATGCATGCCTATTATCAACGATATTTTTTTATTGCATTCTATTTTCACACTCTAGAATAGCACTTCTTTGTGTCATAGCCGGCCGGGGAGTAGTACAATAGCGGTATTTTTCTACTGCCCGGTTCTAGCCTACTGGCTTGTGACTAGTCGTCTCAATTGGACTTAAGCCTGTAGACGATCCGCAAGACCTTAGAGAAATCGTTTCTCTGCCTATACGTGTGTGTGCGCGTGTGTGTGTGTGGGGGTGGGTGCGTGCGTGTGTGTGTGTGTGTGTGTGTGTATGCCTTCACCCGTGATTTCTTTTGCTCCTCTGTGCTTCTTACAGTTGTCTGTCCGTTCCTGTTCGGTAGCCTCTAGCTGAAATAAGATCATCAAGAGACCGTTGTTGTCCCACTTGAATTTATTTATGATATGAACACTATCAAGAGTACATAAACCAGAGTGTGCAACTGTGCATATCAGATCTGAAACAGCGCAGTTCGTGCACTACGTCACCCTGATGAGATCAGCCAAGCCGCGACTTGCGTACAGCTCAAATTTTCATGTTTCATAGCCCGGAAATCAGCCAAGTTTGCTTGATTTTAGACGTCCTGTTTCAGGATTTCGGTGTTTTGTGTGACTGTGTACGCTGCGTACATCCACCGACAAGTAAAGTCACCAGGCTATCCGTCTCAAAAAACCGAAATCAGGACAAACTCAGTGAACTGCACCACCGCGACTGGTTACGCAACTTTTCACCGTACCTGTGGCTTACCATGCCGTCAGAAATGACGTAGTGCACGAATTACGCTCCCACAGGAACCATCCCGAGTTGCACACTCTGGTTTATGTACTCTTGACACTATGCATGACTGTGTGTGTGTGTGTGTGTGTGTGTGTGTGTGTGTGTGTGTGTGTGTGTGTGTGTGTGCGTGCATGCACGAGCGAGCGTGATTCCGAGCTGCGTCCTTTCCCCCAGTCTCTCAGCAAGACCCGCCTGGCCAGATGTTGCTCGCAGGGAACAAGCATAAACATAATGTGCAAAGCATTTTGCATTCGTCTGTACCCGTGTCGTCTAGTCAATTAAGACCGAGTGAACGTCTCATTTGTGCCATTGCCCGTGCCGGCGAACTGGTCGAGAAGTGGTATTCCTATAGCGAGTGCAATTGCGAGAGCTTTTCTTCGCTTCATTCAGAGGCCTCTGTCACTCCCGAAAGAGCATTGCGTGAAATCACTAACCCACAAATGGGAGTGCATGGGTGCCTGCGACGTACAGTGCGCGCCGCTGTTGTCTGTGTGTGTGGGGGGGGGGGGGGGGGGCATGGCGCGAAACCACAGCAATAGCAAGAGACACCTACAGATGCATGCCGTGCGTGATAAGCCGCAGGACCGCCCGGAAGCAGTTTTCACCTGGCCCAGTCGTACCAAAGTCTTTCATACTTTGTGAGTTTGTGCATAGTATGATATGGCGGGGACATATCCCGTCCTCTGTGGCAAACATGCATTGGTAGCCACATAGTTGGTCCGGTGTTAACCTGCCCCGCTACATGTACCGTAGTTTACAAGCAGGCTGTATTTTCTTTTCTCTTATCAGTGGGACCAAGAGTACCGGTACATAATTTATGTACTCTTGGTGGGACCATTGTTATTAGGTTTAGGCTTGTTTTGGAACTCCACTCATAAAGCCAAACAACAGCAACAATGCGACACGTGATGCCGCATGATTTTCAGCGTGGCAATACGCGCACTCGGGCCACAGATATGCAACAAGCCGTAATTGCACGGAGCGAATGCCAGTAGCCATGTGAAAACGTACCGCGATAGCTGATGTTCTTCAATCAATAATATTATGGTGAGTGTAGGCAGTTTCTTTGCCAACATAACCGAATGTATGAAGTCACACAGGGGGTGGGGGAGTGGGGGACAAGCACACTTTTCCGACCCCGATGATTAGTATCATGCTCCAATGTGGCACTACTGTACATATACAAATTTTCGGCAGCTATTTAATTTCGGATATATTCGGCACCGACCCAAAACGTCTAAATTAAAACGCCGATGAAATTTTTCACAGCATCTGTCGCCCTATACCATGCCCTCTACCCCACGCCGAAAATAAATCGCCACCGAAATGTCAAAAATCGTGAAGTGCTGACATTTTGCAGCGCCGACATTTTGTATATTTTACAGTATCCATTATCGGCGTCACTGTCACGTGGACTAGGAGATACCGGTATGCTGAACCGCAATCTTCTTCTTCATTGCTGTATCGCTGTGTGTGTGTGTGTGTGTTGAATGGTGCAATCCCAGCACAAGTTGCTATGGCTTCTGCTGTAGCATCGCTATCATCGCCAGAGGCAATGGGCGTCCAATGGTGTGTGTGTGTTTCTGTCCCTCCAGGAAATCGCGATTTCACGAATGCAACAAATTTCGCGATTTTCGCCCAAACCCGCGATTTCCCGCGTTTTTGTTGTTTTCTGCACTACATGTATATCTCACTTTTTTATGCACTTTTCACGCAGTGCTTCCCATGATCCTGTACGTTATTTGCACAGTACGACTCGTACTACTCCTAAGTAGATATACGATGCAACAAATGTCGTGATATGGCCCAAATCCGCAATTTTCTGTAAATAATTCCGCGAATTCCTGGCAAGTTCTGCATCATTCCGCACTTTTTGTTGTTTTCTGCCGCAAGTTTTCGAGAGTTTTCCGCAAATTCCCGCAGGGACAGGTGTTTGCGTGTATGTACATGTACATGCATGCCGCCCAGGGGCACAACACGGATGCAGCTAGCCAGGTTGAACCCCTAGCCGTTGGGCACGGGTTTGGAGGATCTCCATATCCCATGCGCCCTACAGGTCTCTGCGGTATGCCCGGCATCAAGAGTATAACCACCCAGGGGATTGAAGTGGCTTTTTCTGGTCAGTGAATCCCTTAAACAAATTTTTTTCCTCATTTTTCATTCTTGTTTTGACACACACGCACACACGCCACACCACATACTCCGGCATACACTGGCTGTTGGTAACCACCCAGGAGAATGAGAAAGAGAAAAAAGTACACACACACACACACACACACACACACACACACACACACACACACACACACACACACACACACACACACACAGAATCCCTACGGTCAGCACCAGCCGCAACTGAATTGAAGTTACGTAGAGGATGGAAGATTTATAGTGAATAAAAAGAGGGGAAGAACAGAAGCAGTTGAGTCGCCCGAACAGAAGCACAGCAGTGTGACACAGAAAATAACGACACTCCTGTGAGAGAGAGAGAGAGAGAGAGAGAGAGAGAGAGAGAGAGAGAGAGAGAAAGAGAGGAGAAGGCGAACAAAAATATCAAATGCACTGCTCGACTCGGCCATCAAGATTGTCGGTTCAAATACGGAAAAAACCCTGTTAACTGGTGGAATCCAAAGCCTCGCCGTTACCAAGCAGTGGTGGTCAGCTACAGACGGGTATGCGCAAGACACCAGGGCACGACGGGTAGAGGAATGCAGAAGACAAGCGGAACACGAAATCACGTGCGGGGCAGCGCGTGTCTTGGCCGCGACACATGCATCAGTTTTTGCAGCAGCACGCGTGCGCGAGCAACGCATGCCCGCCCTCAACGCAGTTAATGTACAGTAGTAGCTCGCGCACGCACGTGCACACTCGCGCGCAGCCACTCTCGGACGGCGAGCGATAAAGTGTGAGACCACTCAGGACTACCGCTTCGCACGAGACGACTCCGCTTCTGCAGGCAAACCAGAATAAAAACATGTGTCAGGACTAGGCCACTGACAACACTCTCAGCCAGCAGGTAGTAAGCAACTCACACATCAGGACAAGGCCACTGACAACACTCTCAGCCAGCAGGTAGTAAGCAACTCACATATCAGGACAAGGCCACTGACAACACTCTCAGCCAGCAGGTAGTAAGCAACTCACACATCAGGACTAGGCCACTGACAACACTCTCAGCCAGCAGGTAGTAAGCAACTCACACATCAGGACAAGGTCACTGACAACACTCTCAGCCAGCAGGCAGTAAGCAACTCACACATCAGGACAAGGCCACTGACAACACCCTCAGCGAGCAGGTAGTAAGCAACTCACACATCAGGACAAGGCCACTGACAACACTCTCAGCCAGCAGGTAGCAAGCCACTCACACATCAGGACTAGGCCACTGACAACACTCTCAGCCAGCAGGTAGTAAGCAACTCACACATCAGGACAAGGCCACTGACAACACTCTCAGCAAGCAGGTAGTGAGCAACTCACACATCAGGACAAGGCCACTGACAACACTCTCAGCGAGCAGGTAGTAAGCAACTCACACATCAGGACAAGGCCACTGACAATACTCTCAGCCAGCAGGTAGTAAGCAACTCACACATCAGGACAAGGCCACTGACAACACTCTCAGGCAGCAAGCAGTTAGCAACTCACACATCAGGACAAGGCCACTGACAACACTCTCAGCCAGCAGGTAGTAAGCAACTCACACATCAGGACAAGGCCACTGACAACACTCTCAGCCAGCAAGCAGTTAGCAACTCACACATCAGGACAAGGCCACTGACAACACTCTCAGGCAGCAAGCAGTTAGCAACTCACACATCAGGACAAGGCCACTGACAACACTCTCAGGCAGCAAGCAGTTAGCAACTCGCACATCAGGACAAGGCCACTGACAACACTCTCAGCCAGCAAGCAGTTAGCAACTCACACATCAGGACAAGGCCACTGACAACACTCTCAGGCAGCAAGCAGTAAGCAACTCACACATCAGGACAAGGGCACTGACAACATTCTCAGGCAGCAGGTAGTAAGCAACTCACACATCAGGACAAGGCCACTGACAACACTCTCAGCGAGCAGGTAGTAAGCAACTCACACATCAGGACAAGGCCACTGACAACACTCTCAGGCAGCAGGCAGTAAGCAACTCACACATCAGGACAAGGTCACTGACAACACTCTCAGCCAGCAGGCAGTAAGCAACTCACACATCAGGACAAGGCCACTGACAACACTCTCAGGCAGCAGGCAGTAAGCAACTCACACATCAGGACAAGGTCACTGACAACACTCTCAGCCAGCAGGCAGTAAGCAACTCACACATCAGGACAAGGCCACTGACAACATTCTCAGCCAGCAGGCAGTAAGCAACTCACACATCAGGACAAGGCCACTGACAACACTCTCAGGCAGCAGGCAGTAAGCAAGTCACAAACATATTCACGGTTCGCGTGGGATTCGACTAAAGGCCGAGTTTTTCGCATCCGTAGGAACGATCAAGTCCTATCTAGGGTTCCCTGCAATGCAAGTAAAACTCCCCTAGTAAAGTATTACATTCTACTGCCAAGAGTACAGAACCCCCCAGAGTGTGCAACTCCACTATGGGTGCTGTCCCGACAGAATTTCAAGTTGACGTCATTTTGACGATGCAATGCGCACTGTACACGGATTATCAGACGAATCCGGAACCTGTGGTTGACCGAAGCCGATCGATCCTGTACAAATTATTGCAAAGAAAAACGTGTGATGCGTTGACACACGTACACATGTTGTAAATCACTGGTGCAAGGAGCATTGCGTCATAAATAATGACGTCAACTTGAAATTCTGTCGGGACAGCAGGGTATGTGGGAGTTGCACACTCTGGGGGGTTATGTACTCTTGCTACTACTAGTACTAAGCCCAGCCCCCCCCCCCCCCCCCTCACCCCTGGGGCAAAGGGATGAATTAAGTGCCCCTAACACTTTGGACATCAGCAAGGAAGACAACCAGAAGAAACGAATACACTTGGCGCTGTGACAAGGGAACTTACTCTTTTTCTCCTCCTCCTGCTTCCGCTTTTTCGCCACGGCCGCCTCCTCGCGCTGCTTGCGGACGAGGGCCAGGCGAGCGAGATCGGCACGAGCCTCGTCCGTCTTGCCGGCCAAGTGCATCTTCTCGTAGCGCGCCTTCGCCTTCTGCTTTTCGAGCTCCTCTCTGCAGGAACAGTGTTGGCAGCAGTGGACATGAGGAAGAGTTCGTACCCGTAGTGAGGCGCATTAAAGCGCATGTATGCATAAGCGCACAGTCACATACAAGCCGCTTGGGCTTATAAGTGAACCCAATGATCCCACAACACACTGACGCCACCACGATACCATCTTTACAGTGTGTAATGTGCCTATACGTGAGATCAATCAACTTTCAAAAATTTCAAATATGGCAAAATCTCGCTTATAAGCGCATGGGCTTAACCCTTTGGAACTGCACTGATCACACGACGTCAGGAGATAGCTGCAATTGCAAGTATATTCGTTCCAATTTCCATCATGACGCTGGTTCCACTTCACCGATTTTGACGATCTTGGGCTCGTTGGAAAGCTCTTGGAACGAGGATAAGAGCGAGCCCAAACTCATTCAGGAGAGCGATTGCTGTCCGCTACTGAATGCCAGGAACGCCAGCCGAATACCAAATTCAAAACGGGAATAGTCCTTGTCTCGCCATTTCACTCGTGCTAGCTCAAAATCATTCAAATTTTTTCTAACAGACTCACAAAAGCCGTGACAAAAAGCGCTGGGAGTGATGTCACACGCTGCGTGGGCAGGAAGAGGGAAAATCCCACTTTTGAACGAAATTTGCACTTCGCTGACGCATGAGAAATCGAGCGAACATTCGAGCACTTGCCGCTCTGTTATACTAGCTCGTATCGACCCCGGAGTTTTTCCAGCCGACAGCTTAGATTCTCTGCTACCTCGTAGGTATTTCGATTGTTGAATTCGGTTGAGATTTGACTGAGTTGTGACTCGTTGAGCGCACTTGCACACATGACATTGGCATCGTTCGAATTCGAACGATGAGCTCCAAAGGGTTAAACGTGGTTTTTTTACTATGTTCACATACCCAACTCGTAAATAATAATGAAAGACAATGGTACTGAGACAAGGACAAACTACAGTAGGAATCATGAGAGGATAACGGCCCACTTCACGTACTACATGTGTCCATGGCCAAAAAGTGAGCACATCGAATTCTGAACGGACACCCAAGCCTCACGCGCTTTCACGCTCCTCGGCAGCTTGGGATTTCGTGTGAAAGCCAGAAAGCAGGAAAGCACGGACAAGTTGAAACCACTTCCAAAAAACACGCTCCTCCATCTTTTACAAGGCCCTGGTCTCGAAGAGCTACAGAAAGAGCAAGAGAGAGTGCGTCAGAGAGAGAGGAGAGAGGAGAGAGAGAGAGAGAGAGAGAGAGAGAGAGAGAGAGAGAGAGAGAGAGAGAGAGAGAGAGAAAGAGAGCGCGAGATAGATAGATAGATAGAGAGAGAGCGAGATAGATATAGATAGATATAGATAGAGAGAGAGAGATAGAGAGAGATAGAGAAGGAGAGAGAGACAGATAGAGAGAGAGACAGATAGAGAGAGAGAGAGGGAGAGAGAAATAGATACATATAATTATACATGCATAAATAGTGTGTGTGTGTGTGTGTATGTGTGTGTGTGCGCGCGCAAGTGCACACGTACAAGCTGAGAGGCAAGCGGTGGCGTACCTTTCTCGACGTGACAGCTGCACCTTGTCGTTGGCGGAGACGTCCGACGCTTTCTTCATACGTTTCTGCGCCCGATTGGGATTCTGAATGTCGATAAGATGCTGCACACCTTTTTGTCCGCCTCCATCCTGGTGTCGAAAAGAAAACAGGTACAGAACAGTATCAAAGCACAACAGAGGCTAAGGCGCAAGTGGCACAAGGGACTCATACAAAACAGCACAGCAATGCATAGCAAAGTGTACTCGCACCCAACGAACAAGAGGATAACACATTGGAGAAAACAATGTGCACGGGTTCGCGTACAGGGCGGGTCAAGAACCAGCTTTCCGCCACCGTGGCATGCCACCACCCGATGATCAGCGCCAGATGGGGCTCCTAAACATTGCACAGGCACTGCCAAACCAGTCCGATTTTGTTACAGAATGACTAGCACCCACAGCTAGGAAAAATAAACTCTCCCGCTGGAATAGGAACAGCAAAGCGGGCAAGGTTGAAGAACAGGGCTATCCTCGTCAGTAGATAACCCCAGGGGGGTTCGAATTTTCAAACTGGTTTTCTAACGTGACAAGTATTATCTACCATCCGGACGTGAATGCACGCGTTTCAGGCGTCAGGAGATTTTTCATCGTTTTCTACTAATGAGTTTGGTCTTGTACCCGATGTCGTACTAACCACAGTAGACCTGGACTTACGTCTTCGTCATCAGATCCAGACTCTGCGGCTGCAGCTGCCGAGGCACCTGCTGCGGCTGCGCGTGGCTGTCTGCGGGCATCGCGAGCGGCATCCGCTTCTGCCGCGGCCTTCTTGGTATCGACACTGGCTTCCTCCTCCGACTCGCTCTCCTCCTCAGACCCCTCGGATTCGTCTTCAGACTTCTCTTCCTTCTCTGATCCGTCCTCGTCCGTGATACCCTTCTTCATCTGCAGCCGAACGTATGCACGGACAACGTTGCAAGCGCAGACGCATACAATGCCCACACGTGCACAAGAACGCGACACACACACACACACACAGAGGAGTACATACATGAATATGTGTGTGCACACACACACACAAAAACAGACGCGCACGTACGCACACTGTACTTGCTCACTGCTATGACTGGTCACGCTAGCCTCCCCTGAAGAGGGTAGAGAGGTTCAAAAGGAATCTTGGAAAGATGACCACACGCACACACACACTCACACGTGCACACACACTCACACGTGCACACACACACACACACGTGCACACACACACGCACACCCCCGTAATGGTTTGAAAGTCGCAAAACGAGCTTTGTACTGTGGATATCGAGTACACATTCTTGTATTGCAAAGATGCTTCTATCACCTTCAATACCACGCATGATGATCTAGGCAAGTATCAAGCATGCCAAGGGTCCGGAGCTGGCAGCTCTCTCCTTACTATTGCCGCTTTACTGAGTCCCAGTTTGCGATCAAGAATTCAAACAAGTTGGAGGTACTTCGCTGAAAGATATTAGCTTGAGGCACGTAACCCTTTGAGGACGAAAGACGAGTAAACTCGTAGTTTTAGGTGTAGCTGGATTTCTAACAACCAGAACCAGTATACTCGGTTTCAAATTTACAGTTTGTGCAGTGCTTATACATCACTGTGCAAATTATCGTAACTCCATTGTCCTCTCTTCGATTGCCAAGAGTGAGGGCTCGCTGGAAAGCTGATAGTACAAGCTTTCCAACGATGTGTTCGTATATGGCGCGATGAAGAATCACTGAGCGCCGACGAGCGAAAACACGGATACGCTCAAATTTGTGTTCAAATTCTGTGCGCGGAGAGGGGCAATGCTTAAACGGGATCTTTCCCTGTGACTCATGGTTGCATGGCGCATGCATAGTATAGGCCAAATGAATCACTTGAGCTTGAGCTTCAGGAATCTACAGGACTTTGAATCATCGCTCAACGTTGAGTAAAACTTCAGAACCGATGAAACTTGTGGATTTGGGTACAGTATCTTGCACGGGCGCAATAGGGCAGCTCTCAAAAGGCATGAAGGCATTCTGCTGCTTCTGTTGGGTGCCAAGTGGGCGATATTTTGGACAGAGGAGATCTGTAGCTTTCCAAAGAGACCAAGACGAAGAAATTTCAAAGCTGGTGAATGTGAAATAAGATAAGTTTCAAATTCGTCCTGGGACTATTGCGCACATTTGCACGGACCCTGTAGGAAGGAATCTGTGCATTCTGTGTCCCTTCTCAAAGGGTTAAGGAAGGTAGTTCGCTATAGTTTCAGCCATTTGCACACAGGTCCGTGGTCATTTTCACCAAATTGCATCATTCCAATAATTCACTCAATTTCAGAGGACTACAGAGAAAATCATTCCGATTATGGGTTGGCAATAAGATTTGAAGGTCTCCATATAGGCTCCTCATGATATTGAGGTTCAAACATTGGATTTTCAGGCAAAAAAAGCAACAGTTGGTACCTTCGAACCACTGGAACAGTATTGTAGAAAAAAACTGGGGGACCCACATTTACATTTTCACAGAATGATTTACAAAGACGATCTCTACAATCATGTCCACAGACTTTGAAGAGAATAATTATCACATCGAGGAAATCCCGGCCAAAGTTGTCCACGACCTCCTCGCCAACAGTCACACCAGAAAGGTGTGATATACAGGCATCACTCACTCTCCATTCTTTCTCCTTGCGCTCACGCTCGGCTTCTGCTTCGCGATCTCCCTCAGTGGTGTAGTGCTTTCCACGGCCCTTATGGCGAGGCTTTCCACGATTTGCTGCAGAGACGGCCAGCCAGCGAAATCACAACAAAACAGACATGGACACTGATCGCCGTGTTCCATACGAAGGAAAAAAAACAAAGTCGTGCAGCACGAATTCAATCGGCTGGACTTCTCACCCGTTCCACCACGAGGCATCCTAATCCCGAGACGATGGAATCAAATCTAACCCAAGTCTGAACAAATATTCACAACACCACTGGTGCGGCAGCTGGTATCCAAACACACAGATTACGAAAGAAGGTTCTTCCAAGATAGAATGGCGAATGCAGTTCGCAACAAAATTTGGTTTGTGGAAGAGGATGTTTTGTGTTCCTTTCTTCTTCCTTTTTTTCTGCTCAACTGCTCTGTGACGTCATTGCAAACAAGCGAGTCGGGTACGTCATTCCGCACTCAGCCACAAGTCACGGGAGTGAACGGCCTGGATTTTCATGGTTTTTACCTAATTCAGTGCTTTGGGGGCAAAACCTGGTCGAAATCCTATTTTTGTTATAACTTCTGGCTTGCTTTTTGGAGAAACAAAGAAATAGACTTCAAAAACACGGAAGAGCATTCGAATACTGTACTACCACTAGTATTCCATGGGGATTGCCAAGAAAAAGGAGACGAAAACTCAAAATTTGACCCGTTTATGGCCAAAAGCTAGGATATCAACCTTTTCTGAATGGACTGTATATCTACGTACCTGGTGCAGGCGTGGGCATGCATGTATATGTATTGTACATGTAAGGCACCCATTTTGATAAACCAGGGGATGGCCCACGCCTGGTACTGCCGCAGTAGTAGATTCTACAATACTATAATTAGACTGTACGGTTTTGCTGTACGGCCACTATTGGTCTACCATAGTCTACTCCCTGGTCAGGAGCAGGGATCAGTGAGTCGTACCCAAACCTGGTGTGGGAATGACTCCCTATACTCTGCACATGTCATGCAAATTATTGTCTGGGTTTGAGCAAGGGGGCAACCCTGTGGACTCCAGGGAGCCATACCCAAAACAGTTCGGATAAGAGGCTCCCTCGGCACCTACCGGTACTTCACATACATGGCCCTGCAGGCTAGGCTGTGCATGACGTCTCGCATGCGAAGCGCAGAGCACGCAAAATTGACATGCAATGCAGCCTGCCACTGGTCTGCAAAACAATGTCACAAGGACTTTTGATTTGAGCTGTTTCGTTTTGCCCAGATGTCATCTTCCCTTTTACGACCTCAGGATGCCTGCTCACGATCATTGCCGCGTTCCTAACTGTTCATCACCCCCCCCCCCCCCCCCCACACACACACACTGCACGTGTACCACACATTTGAACTCATCTCAATGAGCCAGCTACCCAGTTAGACAGTGACATGTAAGGCCACTCATTGGCAGGGAAATGTAAAAGAAAACGAACCTCATTCTAGAGAGCTGGGTATCAGCATACACACACACACACACACACACACACACACACACACACACACACACACACACACACACACACACCACACAGGCACGCACGCACACACACACACACGAGTGCGCAGAATAAAACGTAGCCGGCAAGGCTGCCTACTGCTGTGGTCCATGAAGAGTCTATGGAGGCGTGCCATATCCTGACCTGCAAACGTCTGTCCAAGCGTACGCTCACGCTCACAGTCGTGTGCAGTGAAGTGAAAACAGGCAACCCGCGCTCCAAGATCCATACCACGATAAACGTGAGCTGAGTTGTATCACACTAAAAACAGAACACGCCAGCTTTAGACACACGCTGACCTGGAGCATTGGCCCCAAGCCGACATGCCGCGGCACGCATTCCATACACGGGTATCCACAGGAAGCGCACGGCAAGCGGGCAGTGCTCGACACTCTGCAGCTGGTGCAAACACCGCCTGTAGACGTAGAGTCTTACTCGAGGCTCAGCGGCACGACCGAGTCCCTGTCCAGCATGTGTGGCGAGCTGTCAAACCATGCTGCTAGCTAAACGAGATCATGTAATCGCCATCACGCTCGGGAGCGCTACCAGCTGAAAGAGATCCTCTAAGCACCCGCACAGATGCTGCGGTTGACAGGCAATCATAGAGGAAAGCCCGATACGCTTTCAGTCGCGGCACCACACTGCATATAAGGCATCGGACTTCTGCCACCTAGGTACCACCGAGTCCACTCCAGTCAATCGCATCAGCATCTAGCATGCACGGGACGTCACTCCGTGACCCAGTTATTCGAAAGGACTAGTCACATGAAAGGATACCGTCAATAACTTCAACAAGCCCAGCAAAGCCAATGTTGTTTACTGCCAGGCCAAACACCCTCTGTACAACTATGTTTCTTCCTTGAGGGCAGCCGCCAGCTGACAGAGTCGGTCGTGGTCCTTAGCACACAGTCCATGCGCTCCTGCTCGATTCAGCTCGACGAACCCTTCCACAGCCTCCAGGGCACTGGTTTTCTTGATCTTCTTCTCTTTCAAAACCGTGCCGCTGAAATCGGCCGAGCTGAGATCCATCCGCGAATAATTCTGCTCCGCCGACATGATTGCTGTCCTTCCAGAGGCCGCACGTGAACAATCAAGCCGTTACCTAGAACACCTCAGAGAATAATAACAAAACAAGGGCGAGAATCTTCTCTGGACTTGTTGATTCTTGGCAATCTTGCACGATCGTCATTGAAGTAAAAAGCTAGTATTCTTGTCAACAAAAAGCACAAAACAAAAAAAAGTCCCAACAAAAAAAGCGAAAAATATTTTTAGAACTTTCAAAAGGGAAACAATAAAATTTACAAAAAACAACAACGATTTCGAGCTTCCATAATACATGTACCGGTATACAATGCTTCAATTATTTCATACTCGCATTACCATGATTACTGGCACTACTACTAGTATACTGGACCGTAGTTTCTTTCTAGGAGGAGTTTAGCCAGCAAGGTTTCTGCCATCCCGACCTAGTACCTACCACCGATTGAGTTAGAGGTCACAGGAGGTGTTCACTATCAACAGCCCTGGTCTACTGTCCAAGGGACACCACCTTCTGCGATAAATTGTCTTGTGATAAAATTCGTGGAAAAAGTCGTTCTGGGTGTGAAGGCGAGGAGCACGTACGACAACAATATGCAGTGCAGCAAAGAGCGGCTTCAGTGCCACACCGTCGTGTTCTGTCAGGAGTTCTCGCCGTGCGGGTCAGTCCTGGTGACTGGTGACAATTTCGGACGCATTGGAGTGTTTGCGTAAGTGTCAATTTTTTTGCAATGACTTTGAAAAAGGGAAAAAAAAGAAAAGAAAAGTGGTCATAAAGATACATGTACATCTGGCACAATCAATGGCTGTAAATGCATGCCTTCACTCACACCCACTCTAAGCTATATCTGCAGCAGAGTCTTCAAATTCATGCTTGTATTTGTGGATACTCCACGGGCCTAAAGGCCGATTCATACTTCATTTCGCGTACGGGAAAGCCATCGCGCGACCGTCGCGCGATGACTTTCCCCATACACGAAATAGTTGAGCTCAGATCAACTTTTTCGCGACGCGACCCGTTTCCCGTACGCGAAATGAATTATGAATCGGCATTTAGCCTAAAGCGGGATTCACAGAAGCTTTTTTGCGATGCGACACGCGATGCGACAGCCGCAAAACCGGGAAATCCCCAAATCGCAACCATCGCGGACCCCACGCAACTGCCGCAACAGGGCCATCGCAGGCCATCGCAGAAGTTGAGCTTGGCTCAACTTTTGCGATGCGATGCGACAAGCGATTTGGCGTACGATTTTGACCTTTTCTACAGCAAAGTTGTACAAAGGTTCAAGAGTTGCCTATAAATTTGTACAAGTTGTATCAAACCGCCCGAATATCATGGTGATATAGCCAAAACTGCAAGATCACTGACTTCTTCTGTGAATGGTATTTCGCGAGTTCGCATCGCACGCGTCCGTCGCAGATCGCGTCGCATCGCCTGTCGCATCGCAAAAAAGCTTCTGTGAATCCCGCTTAAGTCGAGGGAGTCTCCGTAGTTAAAAAAAAAAAAAGGAGTATAATTTCGATAGAGAGCATATTTTACCTGCCTGGCTGCATGCAGCCCGTGACAGCATGATTGCACTTGACTCGCGTGCTCCCTGATAAGTTATAGAACAGCATGAACGAAAAGAGTTGGCTACGGAGGGTCAAATCTGCATGGGTTCAAACTGGGCCGTGGACAACAGTTCACTATATCAAGGACATTCGCTACATGCGAGGTCGCTGACAGTAGACTCATCGGAACGTTGTACCCTGCAGACGTCCAAGGGATGGGGGGCTACCGTATGCCTTCGAATACAAGCCCCCCTTTGAATAGAGCCCGTGTGGCAGACGGAGTCGAAATAATAAAGCCCTGTCTCGTATAAAAGCCCGGGCCTAGAATCGAGCACACAGAGTCCGTGCTATGCAGCGCAGTACATGAACCGTGTGCGGTACCGGTATGCAAGTGCAACAGGGAACAGCCTCTTGTACGGGTAAGCAAAAACACAGTACATCAAAATTCAATTAGAATGAAAAAAGAGAGGAAAATGAACACAAAGTGCACTGGAACTCAATATGAAAAGGAACGCAAAGTGCAGTGGAACACAGTGAGCATGGTGTTCTTACTGCACTCAAGGGTACCTACCGTACAACAAATCGATTGCAGTCACTACATGTACTGATCAGCAGGAATAGGGTGAAGCAATCGATTTTTCTATTAACAAAATAAAGCCCCCTCTCGAATAAAGCCCTCTCTCAATGTGTCTTCTGGAAAAATAGAGCCCCGGGGCTTCTATTCGCGTCTAGACGGTACTTGTATTGCAACCAATTGCCGGCATGGCTTGCAGCATTACCCTGTGTGTATGTGTGTGTGTGTGTGTGTATGTGTGTGTGTGTGTGTGTGTGTGTGTGTGTGTGTGTGTGTGTGTGTGTGTGTGTGTGTGTGTTACACTTTCTGAGCTCCGTGTTCTTGGCTTTCTCCCAAGTTTTCTGCCTGCCCAGGGCGACTCTGGCGTAGCCAGAGTCGACCCTGGAGCACCCTCGCACACTGCCAAGGTAGTGCTGCATGATTGGAGCGCGGAATCGCGATGTAGCTTGCAGGACAATTTACTTTGATATTGTCACTGCTGCGTCGGCCGTGGTCCACCACTCGCAGTGGAGTAGCTGTCCCTCGAGTGCTGTGAAGAATCCAAGCTCGAAGAATGCAGTGGTGGGAATTGCGGATTGGCTGGTGGAGTGCTGGAACAACTCGTTGTTTTCAGTGGAGTGGACGAGCGAGTGCGGAGAGGAAGGTCCCAATGGCGGAATGGTGGGAATTGAAACTTCAATCTTTCGTCGTCATGAGTGCACTGGTCAAGCGTTGTGGAAGTCTGTCGGATTTGTGAGGCCTTGCCCTGCCGCTTACATCGTCAACGTGGAAGAACTGCTAGTGGAGTCCTGGTGGGATTTCGGATGCCCACACTCCTTTTGCTTGGTGGATTCTTTCGTGGACAGTGTTTTTTCGTGACGTGAAATTTTGAATTTTTTTTTCCTTCCTGTTCATTTTGAGTTGTTGGCACTGTAGCTGTCAGGTTGTTGTTACAGTACAGCAGTCGTCCGTTCTGCTCCATTGTTTCATCTGTTTTGCCAGTTCTGCTAGCTGATTCTATTTATTTGCCACTGCCCCTCATAGTGCTCATGCTTGGGTGGAGGGCGGCGTGACCCGTTTAGGGTAGCTGTATCATAGTAGTAGTAGTAGTGTGTGTGTGTGTGTGTGTGTGTGTGTGTGTGTGTGCGTGTGCGTGTGCGTGTGCGTGTGCGTGTGCGTGTGCGTGTGTGTGTGTATGCTGTGTGCTATGCAGACTTGCGGAGCTTCTTGCAGGGTCGTCGTCTGCCTCAGCACCTGGGGAGAATTGTAGCACCGTGACTTTCAGCGGTTAGTGTCAACTGCATGTGTGTAGGTGTGTGTAGGTGTGAGAGAATGCGTGTGTGTGTGTTGGGGAGGGGGGTGAGTGTGTGTGCGCACGTGCGTGCACACGAGATTGTGGGTGTGTGGCTGGGCGTGTGTGTGTGTGTGTGTGTGTGCGTGTGTGCGCGCGCGCGTGTGTGTGTGGGTGTGTGTGTGTGTGAGAGTGTATGTGTGTGCATGTGCATGGGTGTGTCCTATTCCGATGTGCTCCGTGTGGTGTAGACTCGGTGTCCACTGGGAGTCGATTCACAGGGCTTCCCCCAGTTGCGTTGATTAGCCAGATATCGGGCATAATATTGATGCCGATCGCACAGTTTGTGAGTTTGCAGGTGGCTGTGGAGCTGGCACACTGGAGATCTAGAGTTGTCGGTGTCACTGTCCGATATACCGTGGGAATGAGATGTAGGGTGGGTGTCACTATGTAGGGCAGGGGCAAGATGTGCAGGGAACAGGGCCCAGCTGTAGCGGACCGGACGTGGCCTCGGTACGGACCGTGCTGTTGCCTGCTGTTGATGCGTGGGTGTCCTGTGTGTGCGGCTTGTTTTCTGTATCTGCAGTGTGCCATGGATCCATCTACGCGCTGCACACTATTGACAACTATCTCGTCTGGTAAGCTGGTGTGGGCATCTATTGGTATCCGTATTTCAGAGCCATGGTAACCGTTTGTCCCCGATGATAAGTCCCCCCCTCCCCCCTTCAGGTTTGAGCTACAGTCAGACCTCGCATAACCGCACACATCCGTTTTTCCACAAAAAAATATCCGGATAGGCGAGGGAACCGGATAATCGAACACACATGCTGTATGTATGCATGGCATGTGCTGTAAATCGGTAACCAGCGATTTTCTTCCGGATGGCGAGGGATCCAGATAAAAGAGGAGCGGATAAGCGAGGTCTGACTGTATATGGTTACAATATAGCCATGTAGGTAGGGTGTCACCATGTGATGTGTATGATGTCACCCTCGATTGTATATTGCAACCCTTTGTTTGCACTTGAAGTTTAGTGCTAGAAATGCGACTTATATTCAGGTAAGTACGGTAGGCAGTGAAACCTGTCTTAGCCGCCTGCTCAGGGGACCTTGCGAACGCAGTCGCCGTGTACATGTGGTCTTCTTATCCAGGGTCACTTGGCTGGAAATGGCATCCCTTGGTCCTAGTTGCGGTGGTCCTCTGGGGGGCAGGTGGGCGCCTTGACTGGTTATTTACTTTATTTATTTATTTATTACAGCATCTCATAGCACAGTGAGAACACCGGCCAATACAAAGAGAGAGGGTGTTAGCCAAGCACGGCAAGGACGGGAGAAGGGGAGGAGAAGAAGAAAGGAACCGGCATGGATAAGCAGTGATTGCAACAAAATGACTGGTTGACTGTGTAACTATGCTTAGCGAGTTGGTACTTGTGGTTTTGGTTATGTTCTCTGGTGAGTTTATTTCAAGCTCGAAAACACCGAGTAACGACAAAGAAGAACTTGATTGTACCATTTCTATATGAGAATGATAGCCGTAGTTCTGTGCAGCATGTATGCGCGCTCGCTGTTTGTATTTTTGTTGAGATGTACTGGACAACGGGAAATATTCTGACGATTGCGGACGCCCTGGCCATGTTGATTGTGAGAAAATAATTATGTCTGCGCCCCAATTTCCAAGATGTGTACATCGCACGTCGCTGATGGTTGTAGTGTGTGTGTTTGTGTGTGTGTGTGTTTGTGTGTGTGTGTGTGTGTTTGGGTGTGTGCATGCGTGCGTCGGTGTGTGTGTGTGTGCGCGCGCACGTGTGTGTATGTGCGTGTGCCTGTATGCGTTCGTGCATATCGGTGTTCTCTATTGCGTGCACAGTGGCACGACCAGCGGTATCAAAGCGTTCCTCTGGTCCTCTCTGGTTTCAGCTGCCGAGTCGCCCGCCATTGGCAAGGTGAGTGTCACCACTTTGCCCACAGATCAGATGTGGAAGCTGCTGAGGTGGTTTTGTTTGAACAGTAGCCCTGTTGCCATCCAGTTCATACAAAGATAGGTACTCAATCCTCTACTTCAGGGACTACGAATACCGTATTGTGCAAGTCGACCCACCGCCCCCCCCCCCCCCCCCCCCCCCCCCCTACTCATGGCTTTAAAGTCTTGAATTAATGTCGGTTGTAAGTCTACTACACCCCTCTCTCTCCCCCCACCCCCGTACTAGTAGTTCGGGTTTTGGTCATCAAAGAACTATTTATAACCGGTAAAGTACGATTTATGTCCCACACTTGTGCAGTGTCTTGCCCAATGACCATACCCCCCAGCCCCGTGCCATCTCTACATTGGAAAAGGTCAGCTGGACAGGACAGACTCAACTCCTCAGAATTGACTTCCCGCACAGCGGCAACACTCACATGCCAGGGTTCGTAGCACCCTTGAAAACCCTGAAAGTTTTTCTTCCCCTGGGAATTCCCTGAAATCCCCTCAAATTTTGTATTTTATAAAAAATGTCACTTGAATCCCCTGAAATTTGTTTTCCAGGTGACGTGACCAGGTAGATTTATGTACCGTAAAGTACCGCCAGAGCGCCCCGTCTCGCGAGAGCGCCCCACCTTGATTTTACAACCAGAGAAAGGAAAATCGTATGGCAGAGTGCAACGAAGTTTGTATGATGTGAGAATCTTAGTGCACTAAGGTCACCCTTGGCAGAGTTTTGTGTGGAGCTGGTGTTCGCTCGAAGGTACGGATTGACTGCAAAACGTGCAATATGTGTACAAGGCTCATGTCGTATGACCTACAGTCTATTTCAAAACTATAGACGCGTACCTAGGCAAAAACCGTTATGCCAGCATCTATACCACATAAAGTCTGTGATCACTTTGTGCATAATTTTTTCCAAATTGGGCGTCTGTTATCCAATCGTTTAGAAACTATATGAGAGTAATTGTGGAGCGGTCCTGAGCAATATTCCGAAAACTATTCTCAAAAAGTTCCAGCCAAATTTGAAATATTTCAAAAACCCTACGCGTCTATAGTTTTGAAATGCACTGTACAGACAGCAGACCACCTCCACAATACGACCATGAAAGGATGAGATGGTGGGGCGCTCTGGCGATACTTTACGGTAGTACTCGTACTCTAGTCTAGCGACTGACTGTACATGATTGTGCTCAATGTACTGGCCCTGTACTGGTCATGTGAGTCCGCGGCCTCCGCGACCAGTGCCGCTCGCATACGCGAGACAGTCATGCACTAACGAACGGTTCGCATGCTGGTGTGTGTGTGTGTGTGCGTGCGTGCGTGCGTGCGTGCGCACGCATCCGCGTGTGCATCTGTGTGTGCGTGCGCGCACATATGCGTGTACGCGTGCGTTCTTGTTTGTCCCGTTCTGCTGCTCAGCCCAACGTCATGTGGACACTGGATCCTCCTTCAGAGTAAGCATGTCCTGCCTTGTCCCTGCAATCCAGTGTGGATGTCCAATACTGCATAACACATCATGTTCGGTGTAACTTCAGTTTCAGTAATTTCGGTAGAGAAACCAGGCACCTAACTTTACATTACATCTAAACGGCACTAGAGTATGCACTGTATGTGAAGGGAATGCTGGTCACCGAATTCTACATTACCGGTATACCTGAAACCTGGCAGGTCCTTTGCACCGATATTTGAGTACACCTAAAATTACATGTTATACAGTATCTGTTTTGGTTGTTGCGCTAGGTTGCACCACGTATGGTCATGTGATCAAAGGTACTTCACGGTATTGCCTGCACAACTGGCATGTGCTATGTGTGCCAGACCAGTTGAATCCAGCCTATGGACTTAACTGCTGCGTGGCACAGTTCAGTGCTCGGACTTGCCGCCGTAAACAACCATCCTGTTTGTGCGTGTGTGCGTGTGTGTGTGTGCGTGTGTGTGTGTGTGTGTGTGTGTTCGTTTGTGTCTGTTCTTGCACTCTCAGTATCGGTGGTGGCCGGATCGTCAATGCCTTGTGCACACTGGTGAGCTAATAGACACCATATTCCCTTGCCCAGGTATTTTACTGGATAGTCCGTGCTGCTGGTGGTGTAGTGGGATCTCTGAAACTGTCTGCCTTCCGTCCTCCTTGTGCAAAAACAAAGCGTTGCTGTTGCTGTTGCTGTATTGTGGTTTGTCAACCAGGGCACGCACCTTGTTTCCGCCTCATCATCTGGATGCATACATGTGTGGGATGTGGAGAGGGAACGTCTTACCGTGAGTCACTGGTGTCCGTTGTTTTGACCTCTCTATCTCTATCTCTCTCTCTCTCTCTCTCTCTCTCTCTCTCTCTCTCTCTCTCTCTCTTCTCTCTCTCTCTCTCTCTCTCTCTCTCTCTCTCTCTCTCTCTCTCTCTCTCTCTCTCTCTCTCTCTCTCTCTCTCTCTCTCTCTCTCTCTCTCTCCCCTCCCCTCCCCCCCCCCCTCTCCCTCTCTCTCTCTCCCTCTCTCTCTATCTATCTATCTATCTATCTACCTCACACGCTTGAATGAGCAGTCTCAATCCAGAACAGGTTCAAGTCCCTCTAATCATGCACTCAGAAGTACCTTGACTCTCTTCATGAAACTGGAGCCGGGTAAAAGAGCAGGGAGACGCCGTTCCACAACGACAATCATGCAGTTACTTGGTCACGGGATGCCTAGTTGATTCAGGTGCGTTTGTTTGGTCAGGTGATTCTCACACATTCCTGTTCCAGAATGGGTAGCACTTACTCATTCTGGAATTGCCCAACTGAACGCAACCTATACGCATGCATGTGCCTCTGTGTGTTTACTTCAGAGGAAGTTTGACGGCCATAGCAAGCAGGCACTGTGTGTGGTTTCACGACCGCGCACATCAGAGCAGTGTTTCTCCGGCTCTGATGATGGCACTGTCAAACTCTGGGGTGAGTAGGAGTCCTTGTTTGCGCTCTGGCTATGACACAAGCATGAGGAAAACATGGATGCAGTGAATGGGATTTTCGGTCTTTGACCACTTGCTGGTGAGCTGATTTACTCACCTCCCACCGCTTTAGGACCTGCATCTGCGCCTTGATCCTTGAACGGTGGTGGGTTCCTACGGATGCGGGAAACTCGGCCTTTAGCCGAGTCTGACGCAAGCAGTGATTTATTTTTTATTTTTTATGACACAAGCGTTGACTTAAATCATGTGGCACTTCAATGCGTACGTCGTCAAGAGTACATAACCCCCCAGAGTGTGCAACGCCGATCCAACTCTGTGTAGGGTCTTGGTCGAGCGGAATCGGATCTTCTGATGTCATGCGTACACTTCACACCAGCGCAAGGCCGGTCTCGAGGCAGGGCACCATTGTTTTTGATCCAAGAGTACCCGCGACTCCCCGGGTTCCCCTCAGATGTGTACGGTAGTATGACGCAAAGATCCGATTCCGCTCGACCAAGACCCTATGCAGAGCTGGATCAGGCGTTGCACACTCTGGGGGGTTATGTACTCTTGACGTCGTGCGCTATTATCTCGCCACCATCCGTCGATGTGACTCTCTGTTTTCATGTTTGTCCGTCACATTTTTTGTGGGACCGTATGCGTGCCTCGTACGCTTCTTTCACCGTTACGTCTATCGATGTGATTTGCAGTCTTCCTGTCCGTCTGGCGCTTACTGTTTCTGTGCGCGGTTGTTGTGTGCCGTTCTCTTGCTGATGTTGGTCCAGATTCACGCAGCAGTGCCTGCTGTCACAGCATCACTCCCACCGTGCCAAACCCGTCGCTAGCATCCTCCTCGTCACAGGTGAGCAGGGCCTATAAGCCCATTGCTTAATTAAATGCCATAGTTTGCACCGCCAACACCCCACACAGCCACCCGGGCATGGCCGTGTGTGGAGTGTTGAACAGTGTATTCGCTCAGAGGTTGTTCAATCGTGTCAATCATTCATAGGGCTCCCTGTAATAAGACGACACCGTCTGTTGGGTTCCCCTATTAAAATAATGAATACTGCTACTACTACTACTACACTGTATTCCTGACCTCAGCTTACTCACCTCCATATTTGGCAAGGCGCCGTGGGCCTATTTCAGTGTGTCCGTGGTGTTGTTGTTCTTAGCCGTGGCTGCCCTATGTCGTTGTGCTTCCTTTACTGGGTTGAATACATTCTAATGCATGGCTATTATCTTGCTCTCCGTACTGTTGTGAAGTCCGCACTCCGCCACCATAGACATAGAGCATTCTGCGTAGAGAAGGAACTACACTTGTGCCTCGGTTATCCGGGCGGTCCGGAACCGGGCACTGCCTGCTAACTTTGAAATATCCTTAAACTCCGAATCACGTGCATTTTGATGGGGAAAGGCCATAGATATGGCGTATGACGTCACTATTTCCACAAACAGTCCCTAAAAAAGTCGTAATATCTCCACTGAAACTCACCCGAATGGTGCCCGGTAGACCGAAGTACCTTTGACTTCCGGGTCCGGATAACCACGGTATGAGTTTACAGGGTTCCCGTTCAAGTACTAGTATACATGTACAGTACGGATCGGCTATAGCGTTGGTGTTTGATTTTCGTGAAAATATCACTATAGGCGATATATCACTACAGGCGATCTGCATACTTAGGTATGCCTGACACATGCGTGTATGGTGTCATTCGAACCAGTGCAGCGTGCAGAAGCGTGCTGTGCATGTGACTGTGCAGTACGCGCAGCGCAGAGCTACTTCCTGCGGGAAAAAAACCTCCTGACTTTTTGACATGAGTTTTCAAGGAGTTGTTGTGCTCAACAAATGTGTTCTTTTGGAAGAGAAACACTTCAACACATTCAATCGACATATCAACAATATCTACAGGATCGATTAGTGGGAGTAGAGTCTCAGTCTGGGTCGCCATCGCTCGACTCATCACCGCTGAAACCGTTCCAAGTGGCAGGTCGATCGACGCGTGATGTCATATGTCACGGGGAAGCTTCTCTGCGTCCCTGATCGTCTTCGCTGTTACAGTAAGTATCGTTTATAAAGTGACCGGATATAATGATATACCGGTTATAGTGATAGAACACGTCAAAATCAAAATCAAATCTGAAAAAATACAGCTAAAATATCACTATATACACTATTATCGGCTATACCGATATATCGCTTATTGTGATGGCCTTCAGGAAGCAAACCATATCAAATGTACAGGAAAATATCGCATATAATGATCAAGAGTGATCTTTCTGCATGCTCTTGTCCGTTTCTGGCTGTGTTGCCTCTCACGATGATGTTGCCAACTCACGTACACAGCCACTCATGTCTATTTCTGGCTCTACGCAACTCGTTGGACACCGAGTAGATCTACGATCTACGTGAGCACGGATCCAGCTCAGGCTTTTTTTGGAGAACACGCTGAAGAAGCAGCCATGCCACATGATGTATCGAAGTAGTACAATGTACAGTCTGTACTCGTACTGCACTGCCATGCACTGCTCTGTGTCATGCACCGGTACACAGTCCGCGGAGCATGCATGCACTTTCAGCATGCTTTTTCCAGCGTGTACGCATCATTTCATGTGCAGTCATGTGCCATGTGTCGGTCAAACATGCAAATCGGCTATAGTGATGCACCGGATATAGTGATACATTTTCGAAAATCAAAGGGGCACGTTATATCCGATATTTACTGTACCTGAATGCCTTCTCCAACATCTCGGAAGAGACCACGGTAGCGCTTCAGCGCTGGTACTCATTACTGCCTCCACTCTCGCTCGAGGATGCCCCGGAACAACAAGCACAGCCAACACCAAACATTTCGAATTTCCTCCGAGGGTTATCATAGTCGTACCAGTGCTTCCTGACTGCCGCGATCAGATCTCGCCATGTACGATGTATAATTTGTTATGATCATCACTATAGCCGATGAAAAATGTATGCAATAAAATCATTTTGACAAAGAAATCGTATCATTATAGCCGATATATTACTATAGCCGATTATTACTATAGCCGATCCGATATGTATAGAAAGGGGTGGTTTACGAAAGTGAATTTGAGAATACGATCACTATAAGAGGTATATTACTATAGCCGACAACCCTATAGCCGATCCGCACTGTACTAGACTTCCTCCGAAAACATAGAAAACTTCTTGACTTTATTCTTCACGTTCTAAGGGGTTACTGTGCTCGAGAAATTTGGGCCGGTCGAACGAAAGCGGCGCCATGTTAGTCCCACCAGGAGTCGCCCATGCTCGATTTCTCCATTCACAAGCTTTTGTAGTCGTATTGCCACAGTTAAGCTATTTCATACAAAAGGCATCTCAACTGATGACGTAACTTTGTAACCTCTTTAGGAATGGAACTGTGGACGGTGGTGCATTGCTGGTTGATGTTTGGCTTTCTCAAGTCTTATCCCAATGGACCGTGACCCCGCGCGCTGTATGTGTGTGTGTGTGTGTGCGTGTGTGTGTGTGCGTGTGTGTGTGTGTGTGTGTGTGTGTGTGTGTGTGTGTGTGTACATGCTTGCTTGTGAATGTGTTCGTGTGCATGTGCACATGTGTGTATGCGTGTTTGTTTGTTTGTTTGTTTATGGCAGAGTCGCAATAATAATTGGGTATCAGCTGTGGCAGTGGACCCCAATGATCGATGGCTGGTAGGTCCTGTCCTCACTTGATGATTTCAATGTGCTTTAACCCTTTCCGTGCTGACCCCTTTTAGGGGTCGTCGCAAAAGTTTTCTGTCGTCCCTGAAACGAACATCGTTCATTTCGTACTCGGACCCCCTCCCCTCCCTCTGAAACGAACACAGCTTGCTATGCTGGACGACGAAAATCGCATGCATGTACATGTCATATGTACAGTGTCGGTCGACTTGCGATTTTGGCTCGCACCCCCTCCCCCCCCAAACGAATCATGTTCGTTTCAGGGACGACAAAAAAACTTTTGCGACGACCCCTTACTCCAGCAAACTGCCTTTTCCAGCGCACTGACTCTCCTGGTGTCGTTTTCGCGCATAGGTCCGAACACTTTTCTCTCAATTCAGTTCGCCTTGATGGATTTTCGTCATCCTGGGCTTGTTGGAAAGATCAGAACCAAGCGAATCCATCCTGGTAGCTCTCATCTCAATATGCAGGGCGGTGCAACTTCTATGGCCACTCGAAACTACTTCACGATGCCTCGGAAAGGCACAGCAACTCGATCTCACATTCTTTTTCGGTTTCTTGTTCCAGTTCAGCCGATTTTCACGATTCAAACTGCTCTGCAAAGCTGAGATCCAAGTGCTTCCGCTGGTGTCCATTATGATTACGCATGCGCTGTGCCAAAGGGAAATCCTCTGGCAGGCAACAGAAAACTGCGAATGCATGAACAAAAAATTCACGATCGCTCAGTGCCGTGAATTCCGTGTTCACACCATCGCCGCTCCGTCAATCTTTTTCCTATCGCGAAGAACTTTATATCGCTGGAAAGCTGAGCTCAATACCTTTCCAACGGTGTATCGATTGTCGCGATAGACTTATTTTGACGGAGTTTCGAAGAGAGAGAGAGAGAGAGAGAGAGAGAGAGAGAGAGAGAGAGAGAGAGAGAGAGAGAGAGAGAGAGAGAGAGAGAGAGAGAGAGAGAGAGGGAGGAGAGGGAGGGAGGAGGGAGGGAGGGAGGGAGGGAGGGAGGGAGGGAGGAGGGAGGGAGGAGGAGGGAGGGAGGGAGGGAGGGAGGGAGAGAGGGAGGGGGAGGAGGGAGGGAGGGAGACACAGAGAGAGAGACACAGAGAGAGAGAGAAGAGAGAGAGAGGAGAGAGAGAGAGAGAGAGAGAGAGAGTGAGACAAGAGAGAGAGAAGAGGAGAGACAGAGGAGAGAGAGAGACAGAGAGAGAGAGAGAGAGACAGAGAACAGAGAGAGAGAGACACAGAGATAGACAGAGAGAGAGAGACAGAGAGAGAGACAGAGAGACAGACAGAGAGACAGAGAGAGAGAGAGAGAGAGGGTGTGCGGATTTTCTGATGGCGCCGAGTATGCAGCATGAGTTGCTGGTGCAAGTGCAGCTCAGTGCTGAGAGTCCAAGACTTTACCAAAGCATCTCAGCTGGCGATGTGATCGCATGACCTCTATTGTACATGAACGTTGAACAGCATTTTCTTGCCTTTCTTCAGTTGAGGCGAGGAGACTAGCCCAGAGCTGTCAGTGTTTCTACATTAAACTTTGCTCAATGCAGCGTGTCCTTTTTTCCGTAATAACCTTTATTGAGTGGTGTTGCGTGCTCTTTGTCTCTGTATCTGTACTTGTGTCTGTGTTGTGTGTGTGTGTGTGTGTGTGTGTGTGTGTGTGTGTGTGTGTGTGTGTCTGTGTGTGAGTGTGTGTGGTGTGTGTGTGTGTGTGTGTGTGTGAGTGTGTATGTGTGTTTGTGTGTTTGTGTGTGTGTGTGTGTGTGTGTGTGTGTGTTGTGTTTGTGTCTTTACATGCGTATTCATGCGTGTGCATATGCATGTGTGTGCGTATATGTTTGCGTTTGTACGTTCACGTGTGTGTGTGTGTGTGTGTGTGTGTGTGTGTGTGTGTGTGTGTGCGTGCGTGCGTGCGTGCGTGCGTGCGTGCGTGCGTGTGTGGTGCATTACTGCTGTCTGTGTGATGGCCCGCAGGCATGCGGAGGTTCACAACCACTTACTCTGCACACATCGGCATGCTGACCTCAGATGCTGCCAGCGACAGTGCGCCAGTCTCACAGCTCACATCACCAACTAACAGACACTCCAACACCAGCATCTATCATTAGCACCACCACTAGCAGCAGCAGCAGCAGCAACAGTGTATGCCCGCAAGCAGTGACGTACGGAACGCCAGCATCCAACGGTATTACTAACACCTGCAGGTTCACCGACTCCTCGGTAAGTTTTGCCCATCATGGCTGGTTAAAATCGCCCGCATCATATGTTTATTGGCACCATGTGATTGTGGAATACTGTAATTTCCCAATTTTCGGTGTACTTTATTTTCGTACTTTCGGTGCGTCTGTTTCATACCTAAAAAGTCAATACACCGAACAAACACTAACACACGTAATCAAATAGGGAACTGCTTCTCTGTAGCGAATATTTCTGTTCACCTAGCCTGGCCTGTTGCCTCATACCGAAAATATTGAGCAC